TTAATAATTCAAAAACTCAAAAACTAAGCTTTAACCAGCATTTTGGTAAAGGAAAGAGTTGTTCAGAATCACTCCAGCTACCATCCCCTAAAATTATGCCCACCAGTAGCCGAACACCCTGTATATTATTTAAACATTAATACTATTGGTTTTGAAGATTTTGCAGTGAATGTGATAACTACATTAAGTTATCGTATACACCGCTAATAATATTGGGGGTAATTTCTCTGAGTATAAATTTATTTGTCGTAAGTAATTTCTGTTTGTATTATCCGAAATAAATGACATAACGTTGCACAAACAAGAATTATGGGATCACTAAATTTTGTTATTTATTTCAGCTGTCTCAATCTGTGTTCCATTCTGCAAATGCCGGAGACTTACTGCTCTTCTTAATGCTAGTCATAGGAGAAGTGCAATATATGTTTTTGATAAATCTTGCAATGCAGTTTGCGGCCGATGGTGCTGCTAACATATCTATATCCATGTATGTATATATCTTGGCATGTTATTGTATAGAGACAGAGACAGAGAACAGAATGTTTCACCATAATATGTTAGATATTCTATGAAAAATAATTGGAACTATATTGTTCTTCCAACTTTTATCATGAATTTTATCAGTGCTATATCTGTTACTGTTCATATTTTGAAATGATTCATTTATTCCACTGTGATAGAGGACAGTGCATTAGAATTAAATTATAATATAGAACGTTTGAGCGTATTCCGTTGCGAATCGGGTTTTCATATACACCCCACGCTTTATGAGTAGGTACTATCACTTCAGATATTATACATGACTTACTATTCATACAATAGTACAATGACTATAATTATCAAGGAAAGGTTGAGGAGTTTAAAATACACAAACATCTTGACAAAGTAATAAATTTAATTTTCGAGGAATTGTTTTAACAAATACGTGCTTGAATCTTTACAACGTTCTATAATGAAAATTCTAAATGACTAGAATTTAAAGGTTTAGCTACAGCACATGCGCAACGCCATTGTGGCATTGAACGCATTAATTGGTTTTTCATTTTTCGTTCAACCCGCAGACATAATATTATATGTAATCTGATAAACTATTATTTTTAATTTAATTTGAAGGGTTCGATAAAGTTTAGACTTCCCGTTGATATATGAAATACTAAATGAATTACATATTGAAATGAACCGTTAGCATTTTTAATAATTTGTCACAGTTGAGCGATTAAATATGTATTCTTTGATATTCACAGATATAATACCAGCTGGTACGAAACATCAATAGCCACGCAGAAATTACTGCAGATGGTTATACTAAAAAGCAATCAAGGCTTTACTTTCACATTTTATAATATCTTCGATGCATCACTGCGAGGCTTTTCGGTGGTACGTTATTCTCCATTATACTAAAAAATTACTCACCTCTTAAAATTTGTTTTAAAAGATATCTTCATATTTCAGCTATTTCAAACGTCGGTATCCTACTTTACGGTGCTGATATCCTTAAAATAATTTACGTCAAAATTGCACGGCATTAATTCTGCAGCATTCCCAATTCCGTGATGTCGTATAGTAATCAATTATACAATTATTCATCATAAAATAAGGTGTTAAAATCATAAGTTAATAAATTAATATCTAATAATCTGATTTTTCATTAATACAAAATAAAATGAATGTGCACTAAGTGAACGATCTTCCTGCAAGAAAACCAAATTAGAATTTTAAAATTGTTAAATCTTTCTGACACACTGTACACAATTTCATCGCAATGTAAACTACCTATTTTGTGTCATGTCTGGTTTAGCCTAATATGTTATATGTTTTTTGTTAGATAAATTACAAATCGATCGCTAGCTAAGTAGTATCGGGTCTCGGTGAGGGGTCCCAACCTCGCGGTGCGCGGCTGACGGTGTGCGGTCGACGAAGCGCGGCTGACAGAACGCGGTTAACGGCTCGTGACGTATTCGTCACAAATGTACTCTCGCTAAGCGAGTAAAGTGAGTTTATTGTTTATCAATGCGAGTGTAACGACTCTGGAACCTAGGTTCAGATAGTTATTAGCGCTAGGAAGGTAAAGAGCGGCTTTTACCAACTAAACGACTCGTTTTGGAAAATGATTGTGGGATTCGTGTGGTGTGCGGTTAAGGAGTGAAATCCACAGGTCAATATCTTTCAACAATAAGGTTTATTCAAATAATTAATGAAGATGATGAATTTAACAAATAACAAGTAACAAATAACAACAAAATATGAAAAGTATATTGGTTTGATCAAAAGAAACTAAATAGAGTTTGATATAATATTAATAATAGAAATAATAGAACTTGGCAAATTAAACAATACGTAATAGATAATTGTGAATCTAACAAAAATGACTCTCGCTAGTTAATACTTTATATTAAATCATACCTAAGTCTGATTTCGGATAAAGCTAAAATCGCTTCTATAAAATTAATTGAATTCGATATTCTATAAGATTTGATTCTCGTTTCGAACGCTATCGCAATGACAAAATTTATCTTGATTAATACAACGATACAAAATTTGTCTTGATTATTACGTCTGTAGTATATATAATGAATTATTCTTTTACGAAATTAGTAATATGAACGCGTGATAGTCTACCGCAGCGAGGAACACGACCTAAGTGTGATTCTCTGAGTGTACCTAGATACGCTCTCGCAAAGTTAGATAGATTAATGATTTTATCTGATATCTAACGCGGTGTAGTCGACTACTGAGATTATGCTGATGACAGAACAATATTCTTTTACTAATTCAAGTTCAAAATTTGTTTGAATCTAAATGAATTATTTCCTCGGAACAGTTACTTTTTTAATCTAACTCGACAACTAATTGTTCATGATCCTTTGTGTCAAAACGAACACTGACAGCCAAAACCAGATCGCTTAATTGGGGAGCCTGCGTTAGCTAGCTACTAGAACGACCCAACGATACAGGAAAAGGGTGAACAGTATAAGTCTAACAGGGTAACAAATTAATTGATTCTAATTATAAAATCGTGATTGCTGAACTGCCACCCAAAAGACACGGGCTTCAGAGACCAAGCCGCTCAAATGGGGAGCCTGC